TTGGAGCAACCTGGTCTAGTGGAAGGTGTCCCTGCTGCTGGCAGGGGGGTTGGGACTGGATGAGCTTTAAGGTCCCTTCCAACCCAGTTTGATGTAACAACCCAAGTTTCAACATAACAGCGAGTCAGATTTTCAAGAGTTGTTTTGAAATGTTTAATATGCTTTTTTTTTTAAGATTTACTTTACAAGGCAACTTGTCTCACTGTCATCAATATCTCAATACAAAAAAAAAAAATCTTACAATGCTTTATTTGCTAAAAAACTACAACATTAAAACTGGGGTTAGGCAGCTCTTCCCTTTGGCCAGCTGTTTTGTTACAAGGAGCGTCCCACAGTCCACTGCTAGAGGTTGCTGTACTTAATAAGTTACACAAGTTCTGTACATAATTACAGTCAGAGTAGAGTATGCAGCTGTATAATACACCACAGTAAAACACCATGAGGGCAAAGAACTACTATATATGAAAGCATTTTGTTACAAGATTTTATAGTTTACGTGACCAGGAGTCAATTTGATATCCTCCTACCAGGAGACTGACATCCATCCTTCTTAGGCACTGATCCAGGCAGAATTGCCTTGCAGAAAAACCTGGCTCTTTTGCCAAACTCATGCATTATTAAAAATAAAAAAATTATGTAGCTCAAAGTCTTTAACAACACTATAAAAATAATTATTTGCTAGTCTCGTGCTTACTTTCAAATTCATGAAGTATTTGAGTAATTTCACATTCTCTTTCTGAATTAGGTTCACTGCAGTATTAGATCAGGCAGAAACTTCAAAACCTTGATTAGCCAAGTGTGACTCAACCAACTGGATTATTTCAGCTTGAACAAAAAGGTCTGTGTAAATACAACTCTAAAAAAACCCAAACCAGTTTCTACCACAGCAGATCAAAAGCTAAATAACACTGAATATCTTTTCCATGGTGGAAAAAAAAAAATTAAAAAAAAATCACTATTGTAAGTGTTAGCACAGGATATTCAGGGAAAACATATTGTAGGACCATGCTTTGTAAACATTTCCACAAATCATTCAGAGACTATTGGCTTTGGAATGAGTTTTCAAATACTTGGCGTTATGCAGGGCAGTAATTAACAGCTAATGCCATGAAAACAAGCAACTTTAACGTGAAGTTATGACACCAAGAGCAGTGAAGGCTCCTGCATCAAGTAGTTAAAACTGGATATTAATTTATATTTTATTATAAAGTTTATAGCGTTACAGAGTCCAGCATGGCACGGTAAGTAACCTTCTTACAGTTGCAGTATTTGTTTTTGCTTGGTACAAAAAAGCTGAACAGCAGCTTAATTGTTGTTATCTTGAATCCAGGACTGGAATGAAGTGGTTTCTTCTGAATAGGGATGAGTCAGTGATTTAAAATAAAAAGGCTGCATTTCCATTCAGTTTCAGATATGTGCAAAATTCCTTTGAGTACAGTAGAGAATATGGCAGAGAAGTGTGCAATCCCAGCCCGGGTGCTGCCAGTACACTGCAAACCAGCAGATGGAGGCTGGGCTCCCAACGGTTACTCACCACTTCCAGCATTCTTTCCAAGAGTCCTCCTCGCAGCTGGTGTTCTCTCCCCACCCCGCTTTACGTCCTTTTATGCAGTGCATCAAGTACTGACATTCATAATTATTGTAAAAAAACATTGGTCCAGGATAGTTCTAAGAAGCTTCCTTCAGGAATTCCAGTAAACTCTCCATCCTAAAACAGCTGTAACTGTTACAATGGATTTACGAAAGCAAATGCAATCTGAGAGATGAAGGTCTGTGAAGATTAGTATTTCCACTTTCCTAAGGTCTTCAAAAGCTTTTAAAAACACAGAAAATGGATCCCAATGGTACTTTTCGGAAAGTCGCTTGATTTTGGTGCTTTAGCCCGGACGTGGTTTTCTCTTTTCACATGTTGTAGGCAACATAAATAGGATCCAACTGGTCAGCTAAAAACCCGTCTCTCAAGTGCATCCGCTGTTTCTCACCGCGGGAGTTGATGGGAATGACACCGGGGTCCACAATGACGACGACACCCACTATCAGATAATGCTCTTCCAGCACCACGTTTGTCACCAGCGCCACCAGGTCCAACGCTTCTTGTTCTGAGCCTTCCAACTCCACAACCACCACCAGCAAGTTGGTCCATGTAAACACAGCGCTGTCAGCGTGAGGCAAATATTAACGGTGAGAAAAAAGGACATAGTCAAAGGCAGCGAGATATCAGAGAGAGACTCACTGGAAAGAAAGTTTGTAAGAACCCGAACAATTATCAGTGAGAACAAGTGACACAACAGTAATGTGAAAATATTTGTACATCAAGAGGTATTTTTATGTTGTAACTTCTTGGGATTTTTCTCTGCTACTTGTTGTGTAATTGTCCATGTACAAGGTGTAAGTAGGTCTTTTACATGCACACAGCCGTGTATTTGAGAGTCCTTTGCACTTACATACTGGAACGGGAAGGAACCGTTAAGGTTTCACATTCAGTGTGTGCGTACTTGCTCTCAATGTACTTGTGTAAATCTTCAGAGATTAGGAAAGAGTAAACCTCCCACAGATTCCAAGTAAACACTACCACTTGGAGACTGAAGAGGACCTACAGCCACGTGGCATAAATCATTGTCCTGTCCAAATGAGAATAATACACGCTCAAAGATACCGCTGAAGAAATCCTTGAGATGTGATAACCACATTCTGACACAGCCAGGGAAGTCAGCAACACAGCTTGCAGGTCCTCTGCTGCCCTGTTCATGCCCTGCCCTCCCTGTCTTCCAGACTGGGGAGATCAAACTCTCATAAAGGGGTGGGTTTGGTGTTTTTTTCCTTTCAGAGCAGCGGAAGCAGGGGAAAGAGGGCCATTACATTGCAGTTACTCTCCCTGTAGCAAAGTTTTGGTGAGTTACCTCTACAGTAAGCTCAGTCTAGCATGCTGTTCCACAAAGCTTGACTTCTTCTGCTTTAGAAGAAATAAACAGATACAGAAAAGTAATACTGAAACTCTTACCATTCTGCGATGCTCTTGTGTGCTCTTATTACCGAGGTCTCTATGTCAATGGGATGGTACCTCATTCCTCGGAGCTCCAGTGTTTCATCCAAAGAGCCTACCACGTACAGGGCATCATGCCTCTCTGCAATATAGCACAGACATGGAAAACATCTTCAGATCCACAGGACAAATGTGATCATTTGTATGTGCTTATTCCTGATGTTCTAAGATGTTGCTGGAGGAGTCTACAATACACATCAAGCTCTACCACTTGGAGAGAAGAGAATGAAGAGGTTATTTAGCACTTCTGCCTGTTGGCTCCAAGCACATGAAACCAGACTGAAAAGAATTTCTAGGTCATCCAGTTCTGCCCCTTCTCTCACGTAATGTAACCTCAGTTCATAAACCCCATCAAAATCCACTGTTAAAGTATCTTTTTGTCCCACTATTCTTAACTCTCCTTTGATCTAAAGGAACACTTTTCCACATTCCAAATTTAACATCTTTTTCTTTTTGTGTCCTCATGCCAGGAATATTCCCGTCAGCTTCTTCAGTTCCCCACAACGCAGAGAGAACAACTCTATCCCCTTCTCAGCCACAGCTTTGCTAGGTTAAGTAAGCAAAGCTTTCCTAGACCCTTCTTGAAGGACATGCTCTCCACATTGCCACCTTCATCCTCTAAGTCTGTTCAGTTCAACTTCACTTTTTTTTCTTGCACACATTTTGTAATTCTGCTCAATCGTGTAACTTGAGTCAAAAAGCACGTTGGGAAGCTGCACTGTATTTCATGCACACCTGCTACGAGTGCATTCACCATGCACAGCCTCTCCAATGCTGACAAACTAAAGGACATTGTTCCACAGTGTTAAAATCTCCACGATACACGATTTTTCAGAAAGCTACAAGGCACAAAAGCTTGTGCTATAGTAGCCTCGTGCCTTGCCACCTGCACTTTCTCTCCGTGAAGGTCTGCTCACAGATTGCAATTTCTGTCAGCTACCAGCACCCTCATTACCGCTGCTGATGCCAAATCCCATGACAGCACCTGCCGCTTCAGATGCTAACTGAAGAAAATTAGGTGGAGTTCAGAGAAATTTTGTCTATAAAAAGGTGGATTAATAATGGGAGCACGTGCACCCGCCACCCAAGGATCCCAGAACGGCTGGACTGAACTTTGCTGGAACCAAGGAGTGGTGATTCTGGAAACTTTCTTATTTTTCTCTTTTTCAATCTTCCTTTTTCTGGAAACTTTTCTCTCTCTCTCCTTTCTATCTTTTCTCTTTCCATCTTCCTTTTTCTTTCGAAGCTTCACTACATCCCCGGCACACAAGGGGAACATCATTATAAGTTTTAGCATCATCAAGTGATCTCTAGTTCTTGGTATCGCTGTAAGTTTTGGTGTTGCCAGATGATCACAAGTTTTGATAGTTGTTGTTTAGTTCGCTGTAGGTGACTGACATTGCTGGTGTTTGCTGAGTCACTGCAAGTTTTAGTTTCGCAGTAGGTGTCAGGAGGGTGGAAGGTTCCTTTGCCAAGTCATTCCAAGTCACTTGTACTGTCGTGAGTTTTTGTTGCCAAGTCATTTGCCTTTTGTAACATCGCTACATTTTTTACAACACCCTTTAATGAACTATAGTTTATTAGAATCTCTCAAATTAATTGTCATCACTACTGAGCAGAGATCCAAAAACAACCTCCCCCTAATAATCCCGCCAGAGCGGGACAGGACAAGTAGGCTGCAGGGATTTCTCCAGCTGGATCAATAGTGTCCACCTTTCTTGTTCTCAGGAGCCCCAGGGAGATTGAGTAACACACCAGCACAGTCGACTGGAGGACGACTCTCTCTTGGTGACGAGATGCAACAGAGTTACACCATGGACCATTTCTGAACCCCAGACTGGCATCCACTGCAACAGATGGGGTTGTTTCTCAACAAAAGTCTGCACCTTCACCAAACTGCTCTCCTCGCTCACTCTTCTGCCTTCACACAATGGAGGACTAAAAGTAGGATGGACACGCGTGTGTCCCCCAAACAGACTCTTACACTGGAGCAGTGGGAGCGCTGCTCTCCTGTCGTGTACTGTGAGCGATTACAGGCAACGTGAAAGGTGTCTGTGACCCCTACGGTTCATTATCCAGTGACAGCCATGAGGGGACGCTGACACCACCCATGTACACACCACCATTCATTTAGGTCCAATCACAGAAAATCAGCCAGATACATTTCCTAGGAAGTTATAAGCCTTCAAACTCTTTTTCTTAGGATGTTTAGAGATTACTATTTTTTTTTAATGTGTGCTAATCAAGAGTTATACCTCCTCCATTCTATCTCAAGAGATAAAGGAGCAGTTTTTTTCTTCCACCTGCTTACATTTCTCAAGTTTAGACATCTTGGCTTAGAGTGAAAAAATAAGATTAACAATTTATTTTTGTATACTGGAAAAATTATGGAGTTCCACCTCTAGACCTTTAACTTCTGAAAGGCTGGGAAATCACTGGTACTTGTGCATGTCCTAAAACTGCTGAATGATTTAACTATTCCTCTTCTCTAGATCAGCACTGAAGTGCTGCATCCTGTCTGTAAGGAAAGAGGTTCAGAGGAAAAGGGAATAGAAAGACTCTAGTGTTTTTAACAAATGTGCTCATGTTATTTTGTGTACGTGGAAATAAAGGGAGATGAACATGATTTCCAAATCTGTCACAAGGGCATGACGAATTTCTCATTTTGCAGGATTACCCAGTAATCAGTGAATACGTGCAGAGTAACCATTCCTGGTACCCTCATCACTTCCCACTGACTGACGTCAGGATAAACTGGCAGGACAGCTTAACTCTTCCCTAGCTCAGCTACCCCAGGAGTTTCACACACACGCTTCCGTGAGCACCTGTGTTTCCTCTCACCTCCACTCGCATCAGTAAGTTCTGTTCTGCGCAGAAAGCCAAGGTACCCAGTTCGAGCCCATATGGTCTGGGTGTCTCCGAAACTCAAGCGAGCAGTAAAGTGATCGGCGTGCAGTGCTTCTTCTCCATACACTGTGTAGTAACCAGTAGCGTTGTGGGGACTACTCACCCATATCTAGGGGATAAAAAAACCCAAACCAAACAACGACAGAAAGGGAATCATTCCCATAGAAACACAGGTTATTTTGCCAGACCCAGGCAGCACCATTTATTGATTTAAAAGATCTATTCCACTAAATCTTTTTGCTTCTAAAATGCCAGTAGTCTTATTAAAATAATTTATTAACTTCTGCCTCACAGAAAATGATCTGGAAAAAGGAGTAAAAAGGAGTTTTATAGACATGTAATCAGGGATAGCGAAGAGGAAAAATGAACTGGGCATTTGGCTTACTGGAAAGGAACACCTGTTAACCTGCAATCTTCTGTGAACTGGGCATCTTAGCATTCACAAATCCCAGATGTATATAAAGCAACAGATTAAACCAAACAGTAAATTACCTCCTTACGACTGTCCCCTGATGGGAGCACATAAAATACGCACTGCCTCTTCTAGCTGCCAATCAGAAAGACTAGTCAGCCAGTATCACCTGGTACTGCCAGGCAGGAGTTTGGCAGAGGAGGGAGGAATCCCTGCAGATATACCTGCAGCATGGAAACACTTCCAGCTCTCTGCACAGTTCATTGACTTGCCACATTACGTGGCCATCCCACTAAGAGACAGGCATTTCTCTGACATGATTTATCTGTATATTAAATACAGCTGATAAACAACGTACAACAGCGTCAAAGCTTTACCTCTCCTAAGTGCGAGTCTCCCAGAGGTCCCTTGGTTTCTGTGTGTGCGATGATGACCTTTACCCCTGGAAGAATCTTGAATCAGAAGCAAATGTTTAAAATAGAAGTTAAGAGAACTTTAATTCAGCAAAAGAAAAGTTAATACTGCAGAACCACAAAAGTCAGTTTTGTCTGGTTTTGTCCCCTGAGTCCAAGAAGGACATGGAGGTGCTGGAGCATGTCCAGAGAAGGGCAACGGAGCTGGGGAAGGGTCTGGAGCACAAGTGTGCTGAGTTCCCTTGTGGCTGAGGGAACTGGGGGTGTTGAGGCTGGAGAAAAGGAGGCTGAGGGGAGACCTTGTGGCTCTGTGCAAGTCCCTTGGAGGAGGGTGGAGAGAGGTGAGGGTGGGTCTGTTCAACCAAGGATCAAGGGACAGGACAAGAGGCAATGGGCTCCAGTTGTGGCCAGGGCAGTTGAGATGGGATGTGAGGAAGAATTTCTTTGCTGAAAGGGTTCTGAGGCATTGGAAGGGGTTGCCCAGGGCAGTGGTGGAGTCCCCATCCCTGGAGGGATTTCAAAGACGGGTAGATGAGGTGCTCAGGGCTATAGTTTAGTAGTGAACAGGTGTGGTTGGACTCAATGATCTCAAGGGTCTTTTCCAACCAAACGATTCTATAATTCTATGATTCAACAGTCTATGCAATTCTTTCCCTTCTACTCCTCTCTGCACCACAGACATCAAACATCCTTTCCTACCAAGTTGTTTAATCATTTAAACTCTAAGCACCTATTTTTCAGCTTCAGAGTTGAAGTTTGTTTCACACCTGAAAAATACCTTCCACATGAAGGTCTCCGATTTCTTCGGCTTTAGCAACATATCCTATTGCTTCGCTTCACACACCCGGCTTCATTTTAACTACCTGTTCATTCTGAGCTCTCTCTAGTGCCTCCCCTAGACACACTGTGATTAGTGAAGCTCGCTGCACAGATTCTGTACTGAGATCCAGCTGAAGCAGCTCACCACCTAGGTAAGGGCATGAGGAGGAAGGATTGCTCTCAATCTCACCTTCCCAGACTCCATAAGCGGCAGACTGTGTGGAGAACCTCTCTCTACCAAACGCACCCTGAGAAAATAAGAGAATTCATTTGTACAAGGATTTATGAAGGTAAATAGAAGTTAAATAGACGTGTTCCAGTATATCCAGTGTTACCTGTCCTTAGCTGCACTTACCAAACCCTTATGCCAGCCAATTATGCTCAGTTATTCACAACACAGTAAGACAGTTAAGAGTTTCTAGCCATCTTCAATACTTCCACATTAGCATTCCCATCTGTTTCTTTTAAGAATCAGAAACTCAGCTCTCTGGAGAGATGAGTAACTTTTTCCAGCAGAGCTCTAAGGTTCAGTTCCACCAGCATTTTACATTCACCTTCTTTGCTGGACTCTCCTGAACCTCTGCTCGCCACGCTGAACCATGGCAGAGCATCAGTAGGAATTACAAAAAGGGAACAGCAAGCAGCCTAAATCTAGACCTGAAGGGTCTGGAGCACAAGTGTGCTGAGTTCCCTTGTGGCTGAGGGAACTGGGGGTGTTGAGCCTGGAGAAAAGGAGGCTGAGGGGAGACCTTGTGGCTCTGTGCAAGTCCCTTGGAGGAGGGTGGAGAGAGGTGGGGGGGGGTCTGTTCAACCAAGGCCCAAGGGACAGGACAAGAGGAAATGGGCTCCAGTTGTGGCCAGGGCAGGTGAGATGGGATGTGAGGAAGAATTTCTTTGCTGCAAGGGTTCTGAGGCATTGGAAGGGGTTGCCCAGGGCAGTGGTGGAGTCCCCATCCCTGGAGGGATTGAAGAGTGGTGTAGACACAGTGCTGAGGGACATGGGTTAGTCGGGGACTTGTCAGTGTTGGGTTAATGATTGGACTCAACAATCTTAAAGGGCTTTTCCAATCGAGGCCATTCTGGGATTCCGTGAGTTAAGTGACACCAGGCAGCCCGTCAGTAGCACGACTTGTGAAGACAGCGCATCTGCTGAAGGGACAGGAATCGCGTGCAGGAGGAGCGGTTACCAGAGAAGCAGCTGTTACACACCATGTTGTATGACATTGTCCCTGCACCTATAGGCTAGAACTGACTTAACACAGTGGCAGCTTTGAGGCTGTGACCAAACTTGGTGTCAACAGGAATATGTAGCATGCAAGTCATAGCAATATATTAAATACGGAGAAAATGACCGTAGTTTACATTCATCTGTTCAGATGCCAAATCGGGATCGTGCAAGTGATGGTGAACAGGTTGTCTTCTAACAGCTAAGATTTAAGCTTGCAAAAATTAGAGATCAGTAGTCACAAAAGCTTAATGTAAGCCCCTAATTTAACATTATCAATTAAAAAAACCCCAAAACAAACAAAGCAAATGCACTAAGTCTTGATATCATATTTCTTAAGTACAGAAACACATACATATATGTATGTACCCTACTAAACTTATAGTCTGAACTTGGTGCTGCCAGCACTTGTATTAACCAAGAGACAAGTTAATATGAAAATTACAGAATTAAGTCTGACAGAATGATGTATCCTTGGCAAGTTTACAGATGACATGTGTGTACATATCTCTGTGTGTGCTTTCATATGCGGTGGTACGGGCCCGACATGAATTTATTGGAGCTGGGAAGGCTGAGGAAATTGAGTTGGTTTGGTCTGAAGCGGGGAAGAAGGGGAGAAAGACTAGAGACTCTAACTGTATTTTTTCCGCTTTCTAAAGGATTGTTACAGAGAAGATGGATCCAGATTTCTCGGAGTTAGTTGCACACCATAAGGAGAAGAGCCCAGAGACATAATATGCAAGATAGGAAATGCCAGTAAGGAAAAATTCCCCAGAGCAGGGTGTCATCAGCCTCAGCACATACACCCAGAGAGGAAGAGGATCTCCATTCTTGGAGATTTTCCGTACTGAACTCGTCCTGGCCCTCAGTAACCCGATGATGCCTTGAAGCTCGTCCCATGTTGAGCAGGAGGTTGCATGAAGGACATCCAGAGATCCTGCCTGTCTTAACTGTTTCTGTGTTTCTGACTAACCACTTGGCACTTGGCAAAGTCACCTTTTGCTAACAGTCTGGTCAGGTAAGAAACAGCTAGTGAGTCTAGATTATACAAGAGTGATGAACAGACAGCACGTTAGGTGAGGGTCTGGGAAGGAACTGCAGAACAAGTGATGGAGAAGGAGATGCTGGACCACTTCCAGCACACAGCCATGCTTAGAGGATTCTCTAGCGTGGGATTCCTTGCATACAGTGATGAGGGATTAGCTGCTGCCAAGAATATTTCAACATACCAATGCAACAAGGCTGGACTTTCTCACTGATTAAACAGTTAATGCTTTAATGTAAATCTGTACCTGTCGTGTCGAAGCGCTCTCATATCTACGTAGACTGTTGTTGGATCTGGTCCTGCTGTTCCCTAAGAATAAAGGAAGAAACCAATTCAACAGAAGACAAAAAATCCTGCTTTCATTCTCACAGCCACATAAACTCACAAATTCCTCTCCATTTTTACTGACACTTACAAACAGCCCCGCTTTCTAGTGTGACTGCCATAAAGCTTTGATGTTTTATGGAATCAGTAAACGAATGCACAAGTGAAGTGTGTATTTATACAAGTAGATCTTTAAGTTTTTAAAATTTTATTTTGGCAAGCACCTCCTCTAAAAACTCCATAGCGAGTGCAAAGCACGTAAGCTTAAACCTATGTGGGCCTAATCCTTTTCCCAAAGCTCAACTGTTCTGTTTTATAACAGTTTTATCAACTTTGAAGAAAAAAAAAAAACCAACATTGAACTAAAACATGACTCTAACCAACTCGTATCTTGTCAAGGCTCCTGCCAGTAACAACTGCAGCAGAAGCAGAGCTCTGTTGCAGTCGGAGGATAAACCTTCTGACCTTCAGACGGGCAGACGAGGTGCTCAGGGACATGGGTTAGAGGTGGGATTGGCAGTGTTGGGTTTATGGTTGGACTCTGTGATCTTAAAGGTCTTTTCCAACCACTATGATTCTGTGATTCTGTGAAATGCATATTTAAGCTAAAAAAATAGGCAATGCTTTGGTGACTATTCCCCTCCATAGCACAGTTTCTCTTTTTAGAAATAAAATGAGGCCACTCAGCCATCAGCTCAAGACTGCAGTGCTGGAGAACAGTAATAATGTCTTTTTAATGACATTCCCCTGTACTTTTGTAGCACTGCTGAGGCTCAGTGCCACTGACAGCCACACCAGATTCACGGGATGATCTTTATCTTTAGGAATACACCATTCAGTAATTTTAATCATTGCTATACCCCCTTTCTGCTTGTTTTGAGAAAGAAGTTTTGTGTAATTCAGCTACAAATGTTCCTTGGGAGTAAAACTGAACTTCTTTTAGAAAAAGAACCTCGCTTGATCCGTTTCAAATGACAACTCTCTCAAATGGCAGCCAGTCATTACAGAGGAATACCACTGAACCAGACGGACCGTAGGACGGCACAAGCACACATGCATCACTGTACCTGCTCAGCCAGCTTGCCCAGCCTGTTTGGCTGACAGCGGGACCACAAACAGAAGTAACAGAGGCCATCAAAGTGTGTGAAACAAGAGAGAAAGGGGAAAAAAAGAAAATACAAACAAGATGCACTGGAAACATAAGATACACACAGTAAGACAGAAAACAAAACTCATACTGTTTTAGAGTGAAAAGAAAATTTCCATTTCAGATTACTTAAGAGCTTGGCACTTTTAAGTGTTTCATTGGGAAACGTGCAAGTCCCGTTTAATAAACAAGAAGAGGTTTTAGGCAGATCATACCTAACGCCTGTTGCCTTATCATAAATCCCTCCTCCCTCTGTACGTGTCTAAAGGCTGCTTACAGCTTCAGAAACACCACCTCAGGAAACCAGCCCAAGACAGTTGGAAGATGTTAGGTATTCATTTGCATGCTAACTTGGATCAAATACCCATTCAGCTTGGCTGTTAACCTGTATTCATTTAAACTGAATGATTTTAAAGTCACATAAAGGTACCACTTTGGAAGACTTTTTAAAAAAAAAAAAACCACTACAAAGGGACTCAAGAACAGAGAACAGTGATGAAAAAGGTATAAAATGAAGGGGAAGCTTAACTGCCCAGCAGCCCTGCACTCTTCACAGCTTTCCTGGAGTATTTTTCACATTGCCATTTAATATTCAGTAAGAAAACCTGGTTTCTCCTCCTCTGTACAGTCTGAACAGCAAATATTCAAAACTGGCTTTTAAAATTCTTATTCAAACAGGCAAATCAGAAAGCTATTCTTTCATATCTGGCATCTGAAATGTTTTATACAATAAATTAAAAATAATTCTGTACAGTCGTCTTAATTGCATCTACATCCTTCCTATTTTTCTATCTACTGATTCATAAAATTGCTCTGGCTGCATTTCTTTACAACCATGTATCTAGGGGGTTGTTAAAATGCTTTCTCCTTTAATATGTGTAGAAAAAAACTATAGAAACTAAAGAAACAATTAGGAATGGCAACTTATTTAAGAAGCTCATGGCCCAAAACATCTCTCTTGTAGGAAATCTAGAACATTAAAATATATTCAGAGAGGAAAATGGTTTTGCTTTATCTAGTGGGCACCAGAAAATAAAATTTAAAAAAAAGAAAAAGTTTTGCAAAAGCACAGGAGCAACCTTCACAGAATTGTATTTTTTTATTAAATATAATTCATACGAATAAAATTGGAAATAAAATTTACAATTACACACATGCTTACTGCATGTGCCGTCTGTGAAATTCCCCACATACAAAGCTACATACTGCCACACCTGAAACTTGGGCAGTTTATCTATTAACTCAAATATCATCCCAAACCCAGGGTGCTTTGCCAATTTCTAGACCATACTTAGTACCTGATTTTCAGGTAAGTTGTGGAATACAGTTTTTTTTTTTTCTCTCCTAACTAGAGAAGAAACATCTCCTTAAGAAAAGTTAGATTTAATCTGTTTAAATTACACATACAAGATTATTGTTCAACTGAATATTAAACTGTGAAAGGCAGGCCTGGACCACAGTGTGTCGTTATCTCCAGTCTGTGAAGCAGGGCTGGGGACTTTATGGGCATGTTCTCCACCTCAAAGCTTTCAATTTTATACCTTTAATTGAAAAAAAAAGTCCAATTCCCACATGAGGTGAGACAAATGTATCTGCATGTTGATAATACTAATTTCAGATCTTTAAAAGTAAAAAAACCTGTCAACCTTGTCAATTTTCCTGGGTCTTATTTGAGGAACTCTGTCTTCCATTTAGCTCCACATATACATAAGCTATTTTTCAGAGACAGAAAATCTGAATCATGCAAAAGCTGAAACAGCACTGCTTGAAAGATTTAGTATGCTTATGAACAGGAAACTGTGTATTTAATTCATTGCTGCTCCTGCATAGTAGGAAGGAAACAAGTTTCTTAATACTGATCCTCTGTATTCAAAAGGGAAATCAATTGATCACTGAGAACAGAAAAGTGAAAATATCATAATCCACATCTTCCACGGCTTATTTAACCTGGTGATGAAGCAAGCAAGCAGTGGAGCTCTAGTTCAATAGAAAAAAAAATACATACAGCAGAACATGACTTCCTAGAAAGTTCCCAGAGATTCTGCCTGTAAAGTATAAGGAATAAGCAGTTTAATCTCACCTGTAAACAAATGGCTACGTTGACCCTGCACCCAAAGGTCGTGCTCACTGCACGAGCAGAGAGGCCCAGGTCTTTGAATAACTTGGAGAAAGACTGTGTCAATGCAATCCTTGGTCTCTCCTCTGCAACCACCATGCATGTTCGCACACAGGACAGGTTAACCCCTTTCAGCTGAGAGGTTGGGTGAAGAAAACAACAACATTTTAAGTTTGAAGTAAACCATTCTAGAAATAAGCCGGTTTAATTTGTGGAACAGACAGACTTGAATAACTTGGATAATAAAAAACACCAGAATAATCACCATGAACTGGTTAGACAATATAGACATGAACTGCACTGAGCTTGGCTCCATCCACCCAGGACAATGCTCTAAAGTTATGCCAAGCAGCTCTGTGGAAGGGTTTGATGTACAAGATGCACCATGTAGCTGCAACACTGCCACTCATCATTTTGAGCTGAAAACAACCCAGAAGATGTCCTTGTGTCACAGGGCTGGGCTCACAAGAGACCCGAGTGCTTCCAGTGCTCGAGACATTATCAGCTCCCACCAGCATCAGCGTGAGCCTGCAGCAACTGGCTGTGGGCCAGGACTGCCTTCAGTGAGGTCCAGGAGAAGTGGGGACAGAGGTTTTATTTTTTGTCCATACTGAGAATAAGCACAATGTAGCTGCTTTCTTGTGCACAACAACCTGCCAGACATTCCCAGTGGAAGTCCCGAGCAGCTTAGTTACTACAGCCGTGGGAAGTCTCCTACCATGGAGACAGAGGCGCCTCTTCAAGGACATGACGTTTCAGTTAAAGAGATTTCCCTCAAAAATAAATGGATGTATTCGTGGGTAATTGCTGCTGTTAGGAAGATTACATCAATTTTAGAACTCAATATTTTGGTGTCAAGAGATGTGAAAGCTGGTGAGACTAGCCAGGCTTTTTGTTGCATTTTTTGTTTTTGGTTTTTCTCGGGGGAGAGGTTTCTTGGCTTTGGGGTTTGGGTTTTTTTTTTTTGGTGTGTGTGTGGTTGTTTTGGGGTGGGTTTTTTGGGGGCGGTTTTTGGGCTTTTTTGTCACAGAGAAGAAAAAGTTGACAGTCTTGCTAAGCATTTTGCCCAAAAATCGTAGGAATACCCAGCAGCACAGAGGTGGGAGGAATAAGTCAAGTTGAAAACATAAGACTTTATTTTTCTCCCTACCAGAAATGCGAGAGCTGAAACTTCCAGCAATCTCAACATTTCCCAAAAAAGGCAAGCCATAATGAAAGCAGCCTTCCAATACCTGAAGGGGCTACAAGAAAGCAGGGGAAGGACTTTTCATAAGGGCAGTTAGTGACAAAACAAGGGGAAATGGGTTTAAACTGAAAGAGGGGAGGTTTAGATGAGATATTAGGAAGAAGTTCTTCACTGTGAGGGTGGTCAGACACTGGAACAGGTTGCCCAAGGAAGCTGTGGCTGCTCCTCCCTGGAAGTGTTCTCAGCCAGGTTGGATGAGGCTTTGAGCAACCTGGGCTAGTGGAAGGTGTCCCTGCTGCTGGCAGGGGGGTTGGGACTGGATGAGCTTTAAGGTCCCTTCCAACCCAAACCATTCTATGATTCTATGATTCTATGAAAGGCTTTTGATCTAACATTTATGGCCCATCTTCTGCTAGCCAAAATGAAATATTTTTAGAAAGATGCAAATATTCGTATGTCAGTAGCTTGAAAACTGAAGTCCACTCACCCGCAGCGCATCAGTCTGTGTTCCAAGCCCTTTGGTGCACATCTCCATCACGGAGTAGGAGCAGAACGTGATGCGTACTTTATACTGACTGACAGCAGACAACCACAGAGACACGTTGCTCTCCAGTTCCAGAG